TTCACATGTGTTTTCAATCAACTCATTACATTCTCCAAAATCCATTAATACCTCGTTCACTCTAAAGTTAACACTATATCGTCGAAAAGGGAGCAGAGTGCCGCGCCGCCGCTAAACCTGATCTCAGACCATGCAGTTTCCTTATGTGGAAGATTAGACTGCACGATGTCACAGCGGTTAAGGAGTACGATATCAAAGCATTATGGGGGCAGGGAATCGCAGCGATTCGCCCGCGAAGTTGGATCACAGCCTTGAACTCTCCTTAACAAATGGACAGACTCAGAACAACTTTTCAGAGGAGCTGCTTTTGCCGTGAAGAGCAGTACTCGTTTCTAATTTAATAAAAACAAGTAAAAAGGATAATCAACCATATCAAATACCTCGCTTCCGCATCAGCGCCACATTCTAATAAGAACGTAACAGCTTCCAAATGATTGTTGTATGCGGCTCGGTGTAAGGCCGTGTAGCCGTCATCGTCACAACACTGAATCACAATCATACAAAGTAAACATCGTAATTGCTACTGGAGAGGATTAAAAACGCACTGACAAAAGCTCAGGATTATTTTGCAGCATGTTCTTCAGAGCGTCCACGTTACCATTCTCGGCTTCCTTCAAAAACTTTTCAGTTGTATCACCAAGACTACCCTCCTGTATACCTTCTTCGTCTTCTTGCCACGCAGAAACAAACATTCCTGAACAAGATTGTGTAAGAAACTTATGGTTATCTATCGCTGAGGACCATTCAACTCTCAGATAAGCTTTGCCACACACCTGGATTGCTCTGCTTTGTTGATCGAATTTCGTCTATCAACTCCTTCTGAAATGTGGGAGTTTTAGATCCCGACGCCCTGCAGTAAAAGTGACACCAGCGTCGCCGTTAGGATCGGATCATAGTTCGCAGTTCGGCTTCCGGTTTGCGTGGAACGGATATTATCGATCGAGTGATCGTATGGAATTTGCAACCGCACGATCGATACGTATCTGTTACACACTCAAACTGCAAGCTCAGTATGATTCGACCTTCACATTAACTAACGCTTGAAATCTGAAGTTTGGCGTAAAGATGTAAAGCAAAACTGCGGACATACTGACAGTGAAGCCTAGGTCATGTTCTTCTTCGTCCTCGCTTCCACTAATTGCCGTCTTTTCACTGAGATCCATTTGAATAGAAACAACTAGAACACAGGCATGTGGCCACGAATCTATTCATATTACACTGTACTGAGGTAAAAGTGCAAATGCGATGGAGGTTTGAGACGAGCGAAGCAGAACTAATAAAATCCGTCACCGCTTTGGAGGCAACATACGAACCAAGGGTTTTTCGTTAGAGCGAATGAACATAAGCGTGATCTAAAAGTTCCACAACATTACTGGGAGAAGTGAAGAGTAAATCATCTTAGAAGAACCAGTTAGAATAATAATCTATTATTATTATTGTTCTCCTAAGATAAAACTCGTAGCTCGTGTCATCGTGGAATGCGTGAAAAGCGGATACCCAGCGGAATGCGCTACACATGCGAAGATGCATATCGAACGCGCCCAATCAGGAAAT